AAACCTCTCTTTACAATTTAGTGTTAGCCATTATTACACCATAATAACTTATTATTTATTTATTTAAACATCTAAATATTGGTACAAGGAAGTACCAGATACATATGCGCCGCACAAATCTCATTTAATTTGTGTGAGGACTGTGATACTGCCAAGGTGCCCAAATTGATACAGATGGTTTTCTTAGGGGGCCACACCTGGAGCCTTTGACCTGAAGGTCTGATCCACAAGGCAGTGAAGCATCGTAAGGAGATGCGATCCCATGGTAACCGGTGACCAACAATTGATTCATACACAATTTGTTCCTTCAGGATAATGGAGCCCATGTGCACCATTGGTTTGGAATCAGGGTTTTCCAACTCCCCTAGGTGGACTTCCTGTGTCTACCTACCCGGTTAAAGCGCCGGACATTCGTTTTTCGTCATATCAATTTCGTAAACAACAGTAATGCCACGAGAATGCAGTGAGTAGGACTTTCTTGGCAGAAGCTATATACGCGTGGCCATGTGAGAGCATTTTGAGAGGGAGAGCGAACTCTCCCTACTCTCAGCCGTACGAGGGTATTTGGAGGTGCACCATAATAAATATAATCACATTACAATTTTAAACAAATCTGAATTTTTATTTCATCTTTTTGGTATTTTTAGTTGATTTCATTATTTAGTATGTGTTTTCTTTTTCTTTTTTTTTCTTTCTAAAAAAAGACAAGAGTTGGGCATCGATCCTACAAAAACAAATACTCATAATTTTTTACGGTCTTTTCTTCTATCAATCAGAAGGTTATGAATTTTTTTTCGGTATTTGTTTATATAAATATATTACCTTTGGGATTGCGACGATAGAAATAAGCTTTTTTTTCTGTTTTAGGTGTATAATAAACAGGGGGAAATGGAAATATTTCATTCAGTACATTTTGATGAAGATTATTTTTTGTCTTTTTAAAGATGTTAAATCCTGTATTACTTTGTATAAAGTTTTTCAGTCAAAATACATGTGTATGCATAAGTGAAATTCACTGAGTTAATATTAGTGGATTTACCGAGTATAAGATTAATGTATTCAAGACTATGATGTACAGATTGGGGGATTGAGTGTGCATGTGAAAGCTAGTGATACTTGCCAATTGTTTAAATAGATGTAGGCGGAGCAGAATTAGATTATATATATTACTCCTGTAGGAGTGAGATGTATTTACGTAGTGCACACAATACCGAATCACCTAAATTAGTGGGTACATTGCAACTTGATCGAGAGAATTCGATCTGTACTAAGAAGGATCTGATACATATGACATTGGTTGCTACCCAGTAATCAATCAAGTGTAAACGAATTATTAAGTTATACAACCTGACTGTTTCTGATTTTTCACAAATAAGTTAGAAAATTGGATGATACACACTCCTCAACAGAATTTTCAGACAAAATGGAAAGATATATATATATATATATATATATATATATATATATATATTCAGTACGTGACTGTGTATGGTTTACAATGTTTCGGTTTCCGATATCAACTTTTTCAATTATTAAACACTTGGTTCACGAACCGATCTAAGTTAGAAAACCAATAGAGAGTTAGAAGCATTGAAAATTCGTTTCATCCTAGTATGAGACTTTTCAGCAGTTAGACTTGTACACTATTGGATCCTAGGCTTACCGGCTTAGAGCTTGAGCGTTCGCACTACTGGTTGCGGGGTCGTGGATTAACTAAAACTAATCTAGTCAACAATTTCTCAATTTGATACGTCACAGATTTCATCTTCATTGCAGTTTAACGATGATCTAGCAGTTAAAGCATCTAGCTTCGAACCAACTACGTCATAAGAACGAACCCCGACCTCGGTTACTACAGTTCAAATAGTCAAATAATATAACTAGCCTTCAAACACACAAATATATACACAATATGGTTCAATCCCAAGTAGATTGGACGGTGAAAATCAGTCAGTCAGTCAGACACAACGTAGCACCGTTGTAACACCGAATTCATAGAAGTAGTTAATTCAGTGGTGGTAACATATAAAAGAAAAGTTGTATATAAGGATATAGTACAGGAAGAAAGACAGATATGAAGCAATTTTAATCGCAAGGTTCAAGGGAAGATAAAGAGTGTATACACCTACGCCATTGTAATCGATTCTGAGCCATGTCACCCAGAGTCTCCAACCATTGGTTACGATAATCGCGCCGGAAATCAATGAGTGTTGTTTTAAATAATAAAAGAATATACATTGTAATCCTATATGCATGGAAGTGTATCTTTATTATTGCGTAAGAATGAAAGAATAACCCCCCCCCCGTAAAAGGAGAAATCAATGAAATATTACATTCTGAATAATACGAAAAAAGAAAAAAAGTCTCCAAATAAAATTGAGACAGAACAAAATGGACAAGATCAATTAAACATTTGCTATTCTATCTATCTATCTATCTATCTATCTATCTATCTATCTATCTATCTATCTAGTGGTGTACTTCAATTAAGATAATATATCTATGTATACATATGTATTACATTTGACTACCCTTTGTATAAAATATACTCGACTAATAAATATCTCCCCATCGCCATCAATGGTGAATACGGCTTTCCTATTAAAATCATCCCTATTGAATTACATATATACAGACAAACAGGTAAATGGAAAATAAGTAGATGAACAGATAAACATGTTGACAGTGATGATGACACCTGCATACATTAACTTACTACTGATACTACTACTACTACTACTACTACTACTACTACTACTACTACTAGTAGTAGTAGTAGTAGTAGTAGTAGTAGTAGTAGTAGTAGTAGTAGTAGTAGTAGTAGTAGTGGCAGTAGGACATTAACTACAGTCAGTTAACATCGATGGCTCTTGTAAAAACTATATCTGTATGTGAATATTCCCATATTAATTGATATTTGTATGAACCTAATACATATATATACATACAAAGGTGTTGAACAAACGCAAAAGATAACCAGTACATCACGATACGGCATTTGGGTAAATCAAATATGAACATTTAAGCTGTACCGACAAACCGATATATCAATATACCACGCAATTAAGTTGTAAATAGATGGATAATTAAAATTTTCAAACGTTATTATTGTTATTACTACTCTAAGCAGACCTCTATTACGACATTTGATAAATGGTATCAAATATAACACCATTCAATAATTAGATAATAAGTAGCCACAGTTCATAGCTAAGAACAATGATGACAGTGAAATTCTCTTACTTCTTATGTGTTAACAACACGGAATATTAAGTGGTCTATCGGTTAAGTGCTCACGCGCGAGACTGATAGGTCCTGGGTTCGAATCTTGCGAGTGCGGGATCGTGGATGTGCACTGCTGAGGAGTCCCATAATAGAACGAAACGGCCGTTTAGTGCTCCAGGTTTTCCATGGTGGTATAGCTTCAACTGACTCATGATCTCAACTCTATAGGATAAAATAATAGTTAGCAGAGATGGATAGTGGTTAGCAGTGGAATCCAGGACGCGCGTTTCGTCCTATTTGGGACTCGTCAGTTGGATGTACCTGCATCTCAGAGTTGATGTTCACTCTGGGACTCGAACCCAGTACCCTCGCTTCAAACGCCATCGCGTTATCCACTCAGCCACTAAGTCCTGATAGCCACTAGCTTGTTCAATATGGTAAAGTTTAGATACACATATGCCAATTAGAGACTGACCAGTTGCAGTCCTAACAAAATCGATGGGAAGATTCAAACAAACAATACTAAGTTGAATTAAAATAATAGTTGTTGTAAATATGGGGTGGTAGTGAGTATTTTTAATTTTCATTGAAATCACGGACTGATCTGAGTTGAACAACTACTGAGAAAACCTGGAATCACTAAATGACTGTTTTGTCAAAAGCGCACATTCACAACTATGTCACAGAGAATCGAATCATGGACCTTCGATCTTACAAAGAAACACAGCCTCTAGACCAGTGAGCCAAAATCCACTGGTGCACAAGTCTAATTTCATTCAGTCCACGATATTGCGCGACTATCTTCCATTATTTTCGGAGGATATCTTTCTCACACCTGATACCGTTGAATGTTAGATTTGTTTCACATACATCAAGGACTGACTTTACTATAACAGCTAATGGAAATCTGGAATCCTAGTGAGATGTGATTAGTATAGTTCAACAATGCCTGACATCGGACAAATATAAATAATGATGGTCGCGTAGTTACCACAAGTTGACTGAAATTAGAAATTTACATCATTGAATTCCAACTTGGCAATTGGAAAGTTAATTATTTGCTATGATGCCTGAAAATTCTGTTTGATCCTTGATGACATTATTGATGCACAAACTACTAGCCAAACTGAAATTACAACGGAACAACTGAGAAATTCCCTTCCAAAATTATCAATCATTCCCCACTTGATGTTAATAATCTAAGAGGGGGAAATCATATCCACAGTGTAGAAAAATATAAATGTTTAATAAATTTGTTAATCTATGTTTCATTTCTCACTTTAAACATACAATTCATGATATTATCATGTTTATATGGTCCATCTCTAGTGATAAATGTAACTGATTTTTTTGAATGGCTTTAGATGAAACTGGAGACACCGAGCAACATGGAACAATACCATTTACCACTCATAATTCTGCACTGCACGAATGTTTTTTTCAAGTGTAATCCAAAAATCTAAATTTCAACTGCAGCTGGAATTGATCCCTCTTCATCCCTTTCTCACTGTGTCGACTTGAACCACATTATATTGATTACTTGTTCTGACTTTGGCTAAGCTAAGACTCTGTGTTCGACAGTCTGGGGATTAGTTTACAATTGCGTCTGTGGGAAATTACTCACTACATACAAGTTACCAGGAAAGAATAAAAAGTTTCATCATTATAACTCTTAGTGATGGAAACAAAATTTTATGCTTTGTTTTGGTATAGGCAATATTATTTATAAAAAGTAAAAAGATTAATACGATTCAAGATTATCTTTATTAACTTACTTGGCATCTTTATCATGATAAACTAATTCTTGTGCACATTTCATTGATTCGCCAGAGACACCTAGACGTTTACGAAGTAACAAAGCAGCTGCGGGAGGCGGGGTAGTGACATCAGTAACTAGTGGAGACCCAGCTGGAGTAGATGATGATGATGAAGGACTATGGGATTCATCATCATTACGTTTGTCATCATTGATATTATTATTAACATTTGTCTCATTAATAGATGGGAGATCCTCGTGAATCACTTTAAGGCCTTCAACAGGTGAGGATAATGTTGAGTCGTCCTATGTATACAGAACAAGTAACAAAGATATATTCACAATAAAAATATGCTTTGAGTTTAAGGCAATAGACTAAATTTGTTTTACTTAGATTTTGTGTTATATGGTACTCGTAATAGGACATATCTACGATCCTGAAAGAAAAGAACTATACTTGTAAAATTTGGACTAGGGTTAGTCAGCGGCAGTTAATGGCTGAAATACTAATTAGTGCGAGTTCAAATCTCACATGAAGTGTCATTCCCTTCCAAAGTGCAGCTACACCTTCTTGATCAGCATCAAGTAGCCCGAAATCGAGGTGAAACAGGGTCATCTGTTGAGTACTTAAAAACACCAAATTCAATGAAAACACAGTACACGAGATGTAAAGTAACACCCTTCCACTATAGAGTCGTTACTTTAATTTGTTCAATCAGTTATCATAAACGTAGAGTCTGGCACACATGTGTATTGGTCCGAGCTGCCTTACATGATTACCATGACAAGGAAATAACAACATAAGCAGATAAAAAGATTGAAATAATGTAGTAGCAATGATAATGAGAAAGATTGAGCATTGAGAACATAGTTCAAAAAGATAGAGTGGAAAAGATTGTATGAAGGAATACTGGAATTCAAGATCAGGAAGTGAATTCATTAGTACCTCTATGGTCAATTCTGATCCAAATTACCGAAATTCTTCAACTACTGACCGAGGTAAAATCTGATCATCATCCTAGGCTAGATAAAAATGATATTTGATTACTGAATGACCAATCAGCAAGAAGCCATGCGCTATATCAGACAAAAATTAGCTACAGGCAAATACATTAGTCGACAAAGCTTAAATCATGAAATGATTTTCACTGAACTATCTCATTTGGAAACTTGGAAAAATTAAGCAGTCTTCTCTCCCTATTATGTGACTCCTCAGCAGTGCGAGATCGGAGGCCCTAAGTTCGAATCCAAGCGTTCGGGAGTGCAGCGCTGAAGAGTCTCAAGCTATGACGAAGCAGCAGTCTAGCCATCTCAGGTTTTTAATAGTTGCACAACCTAGATCAGTTTTTAATTTCAATAAAATAAAAATCTAACTCTTCGAGCGAACTAAAACACATGATTGCTGGTGAGAAATAGTTACAACAGGACAGAAACGGATACAACAGTTCAAAACGCTAGGGAATTAATGAAAAGCATATCTTAAACAAACAAAGTATTGCTAGTATGACAATTATAAATACCATTTTCATGGTCAATTCGATTGTTAATTTTCTTTGACCGCTCGTACAGCTATGAAACGTCGAGTAAACATTTATGATAAGTGAAACAAAATTTATTCTACATCGGTAATATACACCGTTGGAAAGTTTTTCATCAAAATTGAACGAAAATACTCTCTTGAATATTAGATTATCATTTGGATAGGGGAAAACAATAAATCAATTTCCGAATAGTATAATGACTGAAGAGAGTACAAGATAAGAGATTTCTTCAGTTGACCTTACCCTTTGAGGAGGAAGGGATTTTATCCAAATACACGACGGGAAATGATTAACTATGGTGCTATGTCAAGATAAATATTAAGTAAAGTTTTGGGACAATCCTGTCTGAGGTTATTGTTTATATTCTTACTGTAAAATTATCAAATACTTAAACTATTGTATTTTTTGTATTCTCCTACTTTTAAGCTTTTGTTATTGTTAATTTACTAAGAACCCATCACTTAGTCCTCTTTCTCTTATGGCGTGGCTGTGCCTATAGTGCAAGTTCTTAATTATGTTAATGTGTGGTTGGAATTTTGTCTCATTTTATGGTATGAATGATTCATAAATTCGAATTGTATACTTAGTAATGTCAGCTTGTTGAGTTGTTCTCTGTACTGGCTGTCGGGTGAGTGAGTGTGGAAAACTGAATTCTGGACTAATAGTCGTTTAATATTATTCTTGGCTGTTATCTGACACGTATCGTGCCGTTAGTATTAGATAGACAGTCTAGACGAGCTAATCAGTACTCAGACTAGATCAATACAACTGCTTTCCTGTCTTACGGTCCAATTTCATGGGCCTAAGTAACTAGACAAGAAAATCTGTTTATCTCCACTGTGAAACTATATAGACTTGAAAATTTAAAAATCTATGGGAATCAGGTTAATTCTTTAGTGGTCTCTGTTGAATCTCATACAGTTATAATCAACATAAGACATTGAACAAATGTCCATAGGTCCAAGTTATCTGCACATAATATCAACATAACAAGAAAGATAGTTAAGCGGAGAAAACAGTAGGAATACTCACAATTGATTGATCACTGGGCGGTGATCAATGTCTTGCGTGTCAAGTCCTTCTTAGTGCTGATCGAATGCTATCGATCAAGTTGCAATGTGGCCACTAGTCTAGGTGGCTCGACACTGCGTGCACTATGTTGAGATAAGATGGTGGTTAGAGGTGGTCAGCAGAAAACCCTGGACTCGGGTTTCGTGCTACTTGGCACTCATCAGCAAGGTGTACCTGTAATCTTGAGGGAACTGGTGCTCCCTGACGGATTCGATCCCGTGTCACTCAGCTTCACAGCCAGAGACGTTACCACTGAGCAATTCGGGCCGCGATCGACCTCCTGTAGGACTGGGATGTAATCACAATTGATTGATAACTGGGTGGTAATCAATGTCATGCGTGTCAAGTCCTTCTTAGTGCTGATCGAATGCTATCGATACTAATGGAAATCTAAACATTAGATTGAAAAATAAACGGAATCGCTTTAGTCACACGACTAACTATAAACCATTAACCACAATTAAGCCATTGGCCACTATCTTTAATCCATAAAATGTATTCCGTAATTGACTAATTCATTATATCTTAAGTGGGTAATAATTCTTTTTTTGTTGAATGAATTGATTAACTATCCAAATATTATTTATGTTCAATGGTAGCAAATATAAGAAAAAACTTGCATAAAATATACCCATTTCAAAAATAAGCCAACTGTAATTACAATCGGACGTGACATTTTTGTGTTTAACAAATAAAAAAAATGAAGTAAAGATAGACATAAGAGTAGAGAACTGATTCGTTTATTGTAGAAAATTAAACCATTTTTGTCTCTCTTATAATGCCCTGGTACGGTCGAGAGTGGGACAGTTCGCTCTCCCTCTCCACATGCTCGCATATGGTCACGCGTATATAGCCTCTGTCACGGAAGTCCTACTCATTGCCTTCTCGAATCACGCGTGTTGTTTACGAAATTGAGAGGACGAAAAGCGAATGCCTGACACCTTAACCGGGTTGGTGGACACGGAAAGTCCATCTAGGGGAGTTCGAAAACCATGATTACAAACCAATGGTGCACATTGGCTCCATTACTCTGAGAGAACAAATGGCGTACCAATCAATCGTTGATCACCGGCTATCATGTAAATGCATCTCCTTACGATGCTCCACTGCCTTGTGGATCGATCTTTAGGTTAAAGGCTCCAGGTGTGGCCCCCTAAGAAAAAAACCTGCTTCGGCTTCGGAACCTGGGCAATATCACAGCACTCACACAAATCAAATGAAATTTGTGTGGCGCATACGTATCTGTAAAATGTGCATCTTTGTAATTTTTTTATATGAAGGAAAAGATTGGTGAAATAAATAATTAAGGCATTATGTATAATTGAACACAAACACCATTGTCTAATGAGTTGGTCAGTCCCATGACAGCCGGTGACCATCGATTGATTCATATGCCATTTGTTCCCTCAGGATACTGGAGCCCATGTGCACAATTGATTTGGAATCATGGTTTTCCAACTCCCCTAGGTGGACTTTCCGTGTCCACCAACCCGGTTAAAGCGACGGCATTCTCTTTTCGTCCCCTCAATTTCGTAGACAACACCCCCGCCACGAGAAGGTAGTGGGTAGGACTTCCCTGGCAGAGGCTATATACTGAGCGCATTTCGAGAGGGAGGGCGAACTCTCCCCACTTTCGACCGTACCAGGGCATTACAATTTACTGAACAATGGTTATCTTCAGATTTATATACTTGCAAATAATTCACATTTCGAAATGTCTAACGAAGTTTATACAAACGCCATAAATGTAGTTTGTGTTGCCTTATATTCTATGATTATAAGTCGTTATCAGACATGACTAAGAATACAAGTCAATGATGATTCCACTTTCTTTTTCATATAGTTGAATTCATGAGTCAATTGAAGCTAGACCACCACCGAAAATCTGGAAGCACTAGGACGGCTGTTTCGTCCCATTGTCGGATTCCTCAGCAGTGCATATCCACTTTCTTTAGAAAAGATGAATTCTTATCACTAAAAGAAATCTATTTTGGTTATATTTTGTTAATTGAATTGTATAATTCTATGAAATACCATTTTTTTTATTCATTTAGTTATTGATTGTATACAATCCTCAACTCATCATTTTTATCTAAACTATTGTTATGCTAATTGTATAGACCAATCCATTAGGTACATTACCATACCACAATGTATAAGTTATAATTAATTAACTAATTAATTATAAATAAATGTTGATATTTTTATGTGACACTTTTCTGTTTATCATTGATGTTCACTAGACGCGTTGAACAGTATTACTTCAAGCTTGTATGCTGCCTAAAGTGTACTATACGTAATTACAGAGAATCAACAGAGACAGACAGATTTTAGAGTTAAAGCTAATTATGGAATAAGTAAGAAGTTATGATTTTGTACAGAAGGAAACAAAATATGTATTCTTGAAGATGTTTTGTTGTACCCAACATGAAAAAAAAATCATTGATTGGTGATAGTTTAACTAAATTAACTTTTGTGTAATTAAAGTAGGATAAACTGATAAGTTTTGTTGATTGAAGGCTATACTCGGATCCTAAGCTAGTCTCGTAACCCTCAAGCTAGAACTACACAACAACTTGAAAACGAGAGAAAAAGCAGAAAATATGCGGGAAGCACATTACTCTAATGGTTCATTTATGTACAGAAAATATAGGATTTTTATAGTATTTTAGAAAACCTTGGTTTTCCCTGAAAATTCTAGAATACTACTAAAAATAGTAGCAATGTAGTTATCAGCCAATCAGAATCTCTACATGTGACTTTTCATTTTCGTGATGTTTCTAGCAAAACTTCTAATCAATCGCTGATTGGATAAAATGCTTTTTAATGTTTCCTGAGCTTATCATGTCTATTGCGAGAAATTTGCGGGATCGCCCCAACATTAACTGAATATTTTGTGTTGCCAATAAATAGGAATTTATAAAAGCCAAAGGTTAAAATGGTAACAAACGTCTTTTTTTCTGACTAAACTGGAAAACCATAAATCAGTTAACATTAAAATGTTCACTTCAAAATTACGATATCAAAGAGAAAGAAGATATGTGATGAACTCCATCTTTTAATTCATAAATGTAGAATCATATCAGTACAGAGTTTTGTGCAGATTGCAGAATTTCCATCGTTTAAAGCACGAATTATGGGGGCGGATGAGACAGATATCCATTCCAGTTAATGGAACACAGTCGTTCATTATTGGGTCCCAGGTCACTGGGCTAGAGGTTAGGTATTCGTATGAGAAACTGAACGTCTTAAGTTTGATCCTTTATAACCGGGTTGTGGAGCCCCTAAATGCTCTGATACGGTCGAGGGTAGGTAGGGTTCGCTCTCCCTCTCCAAATGCTTTCAAATGGTCACGCGTATACAACCACTGATAAGGAAGTCCTACTCACCGCTTTCTCACGGCATTACTGTTGTTTACAAAATTGAGAGAGAGAAGAACGAATGTTCAGCACCTTTACTGGGTTGGTGGATAGGGAGGAATCATCTAGGGGAGTTGGAAAACCCTGATTCAAAACCAATGGTGCATATGGGCCCCCAGGATCCTGAGGGAACAAATGGCGTGTGAACCTATTGTTGGTCACTGGCTACCATGGGACTGCATCTCTTAACGTTACTCTATTGCTCTGTGCATTAAACCTTCCGGTCAAAGGCTCGTGGTGTGCCCTCCCAATAAAACCATGTGCTTAGGTTTGGGCATCCGGGAAGTACTTCATCCCTTACACAAATCAATGATAACTACTACTGACCTCATAGTTAGTATGTGACGCATATGTATTTGGTGCTTTCTTGTACCAATGTTTATGTGTTCAAATAAATAAATAATAATGAATATGATTTAGCCCGTGTGAGATCATCATTATTTCAGTTAAATGCTATAAATCGATATACCAGTAAGACAGATTTATCCTAAACAGTTTTTACTTTTAATTAATTCATTCACCGGGTACTTGAGGTTATGAGCCACGCACTATAAGTGTGAGAGCTAATGATGCTACTGGGTTGCTGAAGTTGAAGTAAGTGGGCACGAAATTTGGACCTTATACTTACAGATTGAAAGTTAAATTTCTTAGTCACTAAGTAATCGCCTTATTCTAAACAGTTTATTACTGACTGTATATCGTTTTTGTACAGCTGTGGAAAAAAAACACATAATTCATCCTTGACAATTTACCGAATGAATTTCTTATTGAAGAAAACAATTTAGAGTTCCGCTGAATAAAATATCTTTCGGCCACTTCAATGTCCATTTATCAGTTCACTTGCTCCAGTGGGGCACGTCATATTGATCGAACAAAATGTGAACTTGGTAAAAGAATATTCGAGTAATACCCGTACATGACCATTTAAAAGAGGAATTGTTGTATCCCGTCAATTATTATGAATGGTAGCTTTGAGAACTATTTATGGACCACTGTGATATGTATATTTCCTATTGTATAATTGCTAAGTAACTTAGCTATTCATATTCATGTTCCCTTTGTTATGAGCTTTATTTTGACCTGTAGACTATTATTATATGATTTGCCATTCTGGAGTTATCCCTAGTCCATTAATTACTGTTCCCCCTATTCACGGTCATAATCTTGTACAAATATTATTTTCTATTTTATGGTTCGATGTGGTCAATTTGATTGGTATATAAACCCAGTATGTTTGAGAATAATGGTTCATATTGCAAAGGCTGTTATTGGTGTTCTGGATTTAATTGGCTGGGCTAGGCAGAAAGCAAGACTGATAAATACTTAAGACTGTTCATATGCCTTTTGCGTATCATTGCTCCGATCGACAAATCACTGCTCTCTGATAGGCGGTCATATTACGTCACATATATCAACTGGGCAAGAACGTACTCAATCGATATAACAAAAATAAAAATAGATCGAAATTTTAATTCTGATTGATAGTAATTGATTAGCGACTAGAAATTATTGGTTCACTACTATTAAGTGACCAAATAATCAATCAAAAATTGCCCAATTAAACTTTAATATGTACAATGAAAAATAAGATATTCTAATTAATTATTTCACAGAGACCATCTGATCACTCTATTTCACGTCAGATTTTATTGTATTTGCCCACAAATGCCCTGGTACGGTCGAGAGTGGGGAGAGTCCGCTCTCACTCTCCAAATGCTCTCACATGGCCACGCGTAATATAGCCTCTGTCAGAGAAGTCCTACTCACTGCATTCTCGTGGCATTACTGTTGTTTACGAAATTGAGAGGACGAAAAGTAAATGTCCAAGGCCTTAACAGGGTTGGTGGTCGCAGAAAGTCCACCTAGGGGAGCTGGGGAACCCTGATTTCAAACCAATGGTGCACATGGGCTCAAGCATCCCGAAGGAACAAATGGCGTATGAATCAATCGTTGATCACCGGCTACCATGGGACTGTATCTCCTCACGATGCTCCACTGCCTTGTGGATCAGACCTTTAGGTCAAAGGCTCCAGGTGTGGCCCCCTAAGAAAACCACCTGCTTCAGTTTGAGCACCTGGGCAGTATCACTGCCCTCACACAAATTAAATGAGATTTGTGCGGCGCATATGTATCTGGTGCTTCCTTGTACCAATATTTGTGTTTAAATAAAATAAATAAATATTTATTGTAATTTGGGTGACATGCCAAGTAATTTTCATGAAACCACTATTAAATATGCAGATTTGTGGAGATTGTGATATTTTCACAGTTGAACTGACGAGTCGATCTAATCTATACCACCATTGAAAACCTGGAAGCACTAAACAGCCTGGGTTTCAGTCCCACATACGGGACCGTGGATACGCACTGCTGAAGAGTCCCACACTAGGACGAAACAAATATCCAGTGCTTCCATGTTTTCAATGGTGGTCTAGCTTAGATTGACTTGTGAATTCAACTATTAAGTAATTTTTTTTCATTCCTTATAAACAGAAGTATGGAATCATTAGCTTAGAAAATAAACTGAAGATTAAATAACACTGAATGTATTCAGATTTTATGGAAAAAAAAGTCAATAATAGGTTGATAAAATAATCCTATGACCAAAGTGTATTGTAAAACATAGGATCTATGTGTTTATATAAGCATGGAATTAGTTGTATGCCGAAATTGTTTACCTTAAAGGTGGCATTTCAATTTTTACGCCAAATGTATACACAACAATAAATAGAATGACAAATTCACTTTGTAGATCAGAAGGGGTTTTGTGGAGATTTCAATATTTTCATAGTTGAAATCATTAGTCAATTGAAGCTAGACCACCAATGGAAAACCTGGAAGCACTGAACGGCCGTTTTGTCCTAGTATGGGACTCCTCAGTAGTGCGCATCCACGATCCCGCCTCACTTTGTATTGTTTGTTTGTATCTGCTTATCAGGACTCAATAGCTAAGTGGGTAACGTGATGGTGTTTGAAGCGAACGACACTGGGTTCGAGTCCCGGAGTGAACATCAACTCAGGGATGCAAACACACCCAGCTCACGAGTCCCAAACAGGACGAAACGCGCGTCCTGGATTCCACTGTTAGCTACTGTCCATCTTTGCTTATAAATAAAAATGTAATATTGTATGGGGAAAAAATTCGACTATTTACTTAAATGGCTTATAAAAAATATAATTCTTCACCGATAAACTAGAAAACCAGGGAACTTGGAATAACAATCATAACTTCACTCAATACTGTAAACTTTCTTACAACATGAGATTCCCAATACTAACAGTGTAGCATTATAACAAATTACCGTTCACCAATCATTCAGAAATTATAAATGATAAATATTCTTTCAGTTATCAGTACTTACCACTCATCTAGTCATGAAAACTTTCTACCAGTTTAGCTGTTACAACTATTTTTTGGAAGGGGAGTACATCACGAACAGGATGTGTTAATTTGAATACATGTTCCGGTTATTTTTTTTCTTAAGAGATAGACAAGGAGTAAAATGTGTCAACCAATGTAGTACTTCTGTTCAATGTTTTTCAGGATTTAGTATTGCAATAATTCGTAAATCCTTTACAATAGGACGCAAATATATGTACATTTAACATTCATGATTATTCAGTTCAAACAAATCTATACCAGAAATGTTAATTGAAACTTTCTGTACAGCGGAAAAAAATATGATTTATCTGGTATTTTCGAACATTTTCCCTTTCATTTACTGAGTGAAATACTCCTGTCTAAGGTACCTGAAAAGTAGACTGAGTTAAAAATGATTTCGAGTCTCAGGTAGTGTGAGTTCACTTCCCCAGGGACATCTAATGGAGACCAGTCACACTGTTTTTTTGGTTAGTATTTTTAATTGATTTAGGTATGCATTTTGAAGCCCTTGTCGCTAACGACGGAAATCCGCGGGGCAAAGTGAGATGTATTATTTTCAAGGTCAAACTTTTCTAATCCCCTCCTTTTTTTTCGTAGGAAGGCAGCGTTGCTGATGTTGGTTTTCTGGAGGAAACACTTTACTACAATCACGACTAAGTGCGGCTGGTAGTATAACTTCATCCTCGGACCATGATTTTGATATTTTCAGTGCTATCACTCACTAACCGACCTATCTGATATGATAGGACCTATAGAAATAAGTGCTCCAATCAAGAAAGCTCGACTGCCTCACTGCAGTATGCATGGCAGACCACCACGTTGAGTTAGCAGTTATGTATATTGGTAAGAGCCAGATGAGCTTTCTCAATCCAAGTCATTTTCTTCAGTGTTGGGGATGTCAAATCCCCAGAACTTACTTGGTAAATGGCTTAATCTTGTAGTTTTATTTTGAAATTTGAATTTAGCTGTTTTCGCGCCAAAAGCGCTCTTTTTACCTTCACGTCATATTTCCCACCTGTAAACTATCTTAACCGCTATTGGTCCATTGTTTCTTTGTGTGTGCTATTTACCAGTGATGCTCAAGGATAAATTGTTGTTGTATAAATGCGCTTGACTTTTTCCCTTATTTGATTGCTTGTACTCGGCTGCTTACGGAATACATATATATTCCCCTACTTGCCTTGGACTTCTTCATCTAGTTAGCGGGGCCTGGGACAACAGATTAGAGTAGCTTATCGTGTCATTGGCTTTCGTTCGTTACCGCGGAATCGATTTAGTGTCAAGCATAACAATTGGCGACGGTGGTTTGGAAACATGGATCCTTCTAAACTCGAATCATTACTTGAACAGCAGCTGAAGCTCATACAAATGCTGACAGACATGAAAGTTTCGCCCCCTTCACAGCCTAGCACGGCTAATGCAACCACAGCACCATCAGTAGACGGCATCGCAAATAGTATTGCCGAGTTTCATTATGATCCTGATGCAAACGTTACTTTTGACATGTGGTTCCGGCGTTATGAAGACCTATTTAAATTTGATTTTGCTAAACAAGATGATGCTTGGAAGGTACGACTGCTACCTCGGAAGTTGGGTACAAGTGAGCTGGACAGGTACTGCAATTTGATCCTGCCATTGAATCCACGTGATCGCTCTTTCGCAGACACAGTCCAGACACTAAGCCAACATTTTGGGGACAATTCATCATTGTTTAACACCCGTTACCGATGTTTGAAGCTGGTTATGAACGAAGACGATGACTTCCTTACGCATGTGGGCATCGTTAACCGTGAATGCGAACGGTTCCGGTTAAAGTCTTTATCTGAAGACCAGTTCAAAGCCCTTATCCTCATTTGCAGCCTTCAGTCCCAGAAGTTCAGTGACATAAGAACGCGACTACTATGTCGATTGGACCAAGATCCAAAACTCACACTAAATGACATGGCTAATGAATATCAACGCCTAGTAAATCTACAACGAGACACGTCGATGGTTGAGAGTGGTGGGTCTAGTCGATCGGAAGTACGAGTAATCCAAAAGACAACTAACCAGAATCAGTGTGCTCCCGCTGCATTCAGTCCAACTCATTTCAGCCCAATTCGACAGACCAGAACAAATCCCTCCACTTCTTGCTGGCATTGTGGTGCATGGCACTACGTAAGGAATTGCCCATTTAAGCAACATCGATGCAGGAAGTGCAAGGTTGTTGGCCACAAGGACGGGTTTTGCCTTAAGAGCACACCAAATCGATCCAGTAATACCAAAAAGACGGTTCCAAAGCCCTGTACCTCTTCTTTGAGCTTGGTATCTTCTTGTCAGAGTTCATCACCAGGTGAGAGGAAATTCATTAACATTAATATTAATGGACATTTTTTTAGATTGCAAATAGATACCGCATCAGACGTCACCATCCTCTCTCACAAAAATTGGATCAAAATGGGTAGCCCAAGCCTGCAGCGAACAACTAAAAAGCCTCGTACCGCATGTGGTAATTTCCTACACTTAGCAGGACTATTGGAATGTAGAGTGACCTTCCGGGAGTCGTCATTTACCGGGGTATGTCATATAACTCCAGCTGATCTAAATTTACTTGGTTTAGATTGGTTCGATCAACTGAAATTGGCTGATGTCCCACTAAATACCATATGCCACATGATATCACAACCTCATGGCACTGAATCGTATACCAGGAAGCTAATGGCGCAGTTTTCATCGATTTTCCAGCCTGGTTTGGGACAGTGTTCTACCTTAAAAGCAACGCTTCGTTTGAAACCTGGAGCTAAGCCTGTCTTTCGTCCCAAAAGACCCGTGCCTTATGCGACGTTACCAACAGTAGATGAAGAATTAAACCGCCTCCAACAACAAGAAGTAATTACTCCCGTTTCTTACTCCGCCTGGGCAGCACCGATAGTGGTCATCAAGAAAGCAAACGGCACCTTACGAATATGTGCTGATTTTTCTACAGGTCTAAATGCAGCCCTTGAACAACACCACTATCCCTTACCAGTTCCGGCAGATTTGTTTACGATGCTGAATGGGGGAAAATTCTTCGCAAAACTGGATCTTGCTGATGCTTATTTGCAAGTTGAAGTAGACGAAGCATCTAGGGAGCTGCTTACTATCAACACTCACCGTGGGTTATTTCAGTACAACCGTTTACCATTCGGTGTCAAGACTGCACCATCTATTTTCCAACAATTAATGGATACTATCTTATCGGGCATCCCGGGAGTCGCGGCTTACCTTGACGACATTCCAATTGTTGCCGCAACGTTAGAACAGCTACATGAACGAACGACATCGGTACTGAAACGCATTAGTGAAAACGGGTTCCGGTTACGACCTGAGAAATGCCAGTTTTTATTACGGTCCGTAAAGTATTTGGGGTTTATTTTTGATGCTGACGGCCGCAGACCAAATCCTGAAAATGTCCAAGCGATAAGACAGATGCCCACACCCACGAATATCTCCGCACTGCGTTCCTTCATGGGACTGGTCTCTTACTATGCCGCGTTCGTCCCTTCAATGCATGACATTCGTGCCCCACTGAATGGCCTACTGAGCAAGAACAGTACGTGGAACTGGACTAAAGAGTGTGACGCAGCATTCTGTAAACTGAAGTCCATCATCAGCTCGAAATTGTTATTAACGCACTACGATCCATGCATGCCAATCATTGTAGCTGCAGATGCCTCAGCGTATGGCTTAGGAGCCGTCATTTCTCATCAGTTTCCAGACGCAACAGAGAAGGCTGTCATGCACGCATCCCGAACACTGACCCCGGCAGAAAGGAAGTATAGTCAGATAGAGAAGGAGGCTCTCGCCCTGGTGTTTGCGGTGCGGCGGTTCCACAAATTTTTGTACGGTCGGAGGTTCACACTCCTTACGGATCACAAGCCCCTTCTCGCAATTTTTGGTTCGAAATCTGGCGTCCCGGCCCACTCTGCAAACCGTCTCCAACGATGGGCTTTGATCCTCTTGGGGTATGATTTTGACATTCAGTATCGACGCACCAAACAATTTGGTCAAGCAGACGCATTGTCACGACTCATCAACGAACACTCTACGACCGATGAAGATGCCGTTATCGCTTCTCTTTCGACAGAAGACCACGCGCAATGCTACCTGACAACCGCTGTTCGTGCTTTGCCAGTCTTAGAATCTGAGATACAAACTGCTTCCAGAAACGACCCCGTCATTAAGAAAACGATGAACTACGTCACCAATGGCTGGCCATCAACTGAACTTGACGGTGACATGAAGCAGCTTTACCATCGTCGTGACTCATTATGTGTCGTAAATGAATGCTTGATGTTTGGAGATAGAGTGATGGTGCCAGAATCCCTACGACCGAGGGTGCTGAAGCAATTCCACATTGGTCATCCAGGCATAAAGCGTATGAAATCCATCGCCAGAAGCTATGCTTACTGGCCCCTCATGGACCAGCATATCGTGGATCTAGTAAACAAATGTGCTCAGTGTCAACAAGCTGAAAAGTCCAATGCGAAGGTACCGCCGGTCCCATGGCCACAGCCTGAGCATCCCTGGTCTAGGATGCATATCGACTTTGCCGGTCCAGTCAACGGAACCACATATCTTGTCGTGGTCGACGCCTTCTCAAAATGGCCGGAGATTGTTCCCGTCACTCCACCAACGACCACCCAGACTCTGAAACATTTGACTGAGTTGTTCGCACGAAACGGATTACCGGAAGTGATTGTATCCGACAACGGTTCGCAGTTCACCTCGGCGCAGTTCCAAGAGTTCTGCAAACGCCTAACCATCAGGCATCTTCGCGCCCCACATTACCACCCACAATCGAATGGGCAAACGGAAAGGTTCGTGGATACGTTCAAGAGGGCTCTGATTAAGTCAAAAGGGGAGGGGACGCCAGTGGAAACACTGCAAAATTTTTTATTTGCCTACAGAACGACCCCCAACGACACGCTGCCGGAGCAGAAGTCCCCCGCAGAGATCCTCATGGGAAGACGGCTGAGGACCATTCACAACTTGATGCTGCCGAAATCCACACCACCACTAATACAAACCACGTCCCGGAAGCTACCCACGTACAACGTTGGATGCCCAGTATTCGCTCGGGACTACAGAGCAAATCGTGACCCTTGGATCGAAGCACGTGTGGTTAGACGGGTGGGAGAAGTCATGTATGAGGTTGAGGTAGGAACGGACAGATGGACCAGACATCGAAATCAACTACGCAAGCGGTTAACACCAGAGCGCCCATCGACCGAAGTAAACATTCCGCTGGACGTACTATTGGATACATTTAATCTGCCGGCAGTCCCAACGCATGAAGAAGCACAAAAGGTCGATCTACGGTCCCGAAGATGGTCACTGCGCCAACGGCGACAAACAGTTAGAATGCAGGTGGACCCAAAGAATGTCGGTTACTAAAAAGGGGAGGTGTTGGGGATGTCAAATCCCCAGAACTTACTTGGTAAATGGCTTAATCTTGTAGTTTTATTTTGAAATTTGAATTTAGCTGTTTTCGCGCCAAAAGCGCTCTTTTTACCTTCACGTCATATTTCCCACCTGTAAACTATCTTAACCGCTATTGGTCCATTGTTTCTTTGTGTGTGCTATTTACCAGTGATGCTCAAGGATAAATTGTTGTTGTATAAATGCGCTTGACTTTTTCCCTTATTTGATTGCTTGTACTCGGCTGCTTACGGAATACATATATATTCCCCTACTTGCCTTGGACTTCTTCATCTAGTTAGCGGGGCCTGGGACAACAGATTAGAGTAGCTTATCGTGTCATTGGCTTTCGTTCGTTACCGCGGAATCGATTTAGTGTCAAGCATAACATTCAGACACCGGCCCACCAAGGGTAGTGAAAAACATACACCTCCTCTTATGATCACCCCATCCATGACTTAGAACAAATTTCAAACGACATTTTTCAGTCAGAGAGGGAGAAACTCAACTGAAGTATTATTGGATAGCGTTTAGGAGACTGCATTCTACCTGTATCCGCTTACATCTACATAGTCCAAGTCAATGAGTGTCCTAATGTAGATGATTCCTTGAAGAGTCGGATCTGAAACGAATAACCTCTAAGAAAATAACTATGACAAGATGGTGTTTTTAACATTGATCTTGAAGTAAAAGAATAAGTTTACAGTGGGAAGTTGAAAGATATGCGTATGATTGAAATCTGATAGAGTAAATGCACGGACTAAATACGTTCACCATTAGGTCAAAAATCTACCTGGTCGTTTCAAATTAACTATACCGAATCTTCATTAAGCCATCATTAGATGGTTTTCACAAATTAATTTATGTCTTGTAGAAGAAACTACGTCCGATTTTCAATCAATCTAAACGATAATATTAGATAATCATTTTTATAAACCACTAGAAATTAAGTCGATCAAGGTCTACTTCTCTCTATAAGCTTTCAGAGTTGAATATCCAACATCATGCACTCATTCAAACCAATCAATTTGACAAAATATGAACAATACTCAACCACTCTACTCTTTGAAGACTTCAATAAATCCATACATCCAAGTGTATCTGAAACACCTAATTTACAAAAAAAATCATATCGTTAAATAATGCAAACCATTTTATGTCAGATATCATCACTACAATGACCATTATTAGTCATTGAGATCTATATTATTATTTAAGACAATCAGGATGATTAACTTTTCATAGTTGAAATTATTAGTCAATTGAAGCTAGACCACCAGGGAAAACCTGAGAGCACTGGACGGCCGTTTCGTCCTATTGTGGGACTTCTCAGCAGTGCGCATCCACGACTTCGCCTGATGAGGAGTTCCGAAATAGGACGAAACGGCCTTTCAGTGCTTTCAGGTTTTCCCTGGTGGTCTAACTTCAATTGACTCACATTTTCAACTATGAAAATACTAAATCTCCACAAAAAAAAACCTCTTGATGATTAACTTTTGTTTACACTTAAACAACTAATTAATACTCAGGCCAAATAAAAATAGATCTAAACAACAAAATATCTAGTCAAATCCAATCACTATGATTATGAGTTTTACTCTATGTTTGTTTCTGTCGTTGTATTAATCATTATAAGATGACTCATTATATCGTGTGTATTCTTCAATGTTATGACTAAACGGGAACTCTTTTTTTTGCCAATTTAACTTTGGTTGGAACTATTTATTTCATTTTGTGCAATGTATGTCATCCAATTTTATGTATTATTTCTTTTCTCTATTTAAAGTGCATGATTACCGACACACACACACACATACATTCACACACACACACACAAGTCGATGCAATAAAGATATTATTCTCCTGTCATAAAAGTTAGAAACCCAACTAAAAAAAGTAGTATGCTGATGATGATGTATGTGTATCTATGCCTATATATGTAAAAATGCATCATAAAATGTATCCATAATACACAAAGAAAGGTAGTATTGATTTACATATTGTTTATGACATAAAGGAGTTATGAGATTGGGACAGAAGTATAGTCTAATAACAAAATTAGTTAGTTGGATTTCAGAGCCAGAGCCCTTAACCGATAGACCGATAGGCAATCGGTGAAGTGTCGCTCATAATTCGTGGATCAGTTGAAGTTAGACATTAACACCGTCGGATGCCGGCTCAGTGGTCTATCGGTTAAGGGCTCTGGCTCGTAACTGGTAGGTCCTGGGTTCGGATCTCGCGAGTGCGGGATAGTGGGTGCGAACTGCTGAGGAGTCCCATAATAGGACGAAACGGCCGTCCAGTGCTTCCACGTTTTCGATGGTGGTCTAGCTTTAATTGACTCATGATTTCAACTTAGTTGGATTTATTACCTTGTGAATTTAATTAGTGCACTAATTCGTTTAATTATTCATAACAAACAAATAAAAAATGTAATTGCCTCAATTATAATACATTATCTGTTCAAAAAAAAGATACATGAATCAAGGTGGTCGAGTGGATAACGCGATGGAGTTTGAAGCAAAAGGTACTAGGTTCGATTCCCAGAGTGAGCATCAACTCTGAAATGCATTTACATCCAGCCGACGAGTTCCAAATAGGACAAAACACGTGTCAAACTGGATTCCATCGCTAGCCACTATCCATCTTTGCTTACCAAGGTTATGAGTGTTGTTAAATTATACGTCAATCGTATTGTACTTAGGTCACTGCTTTTCGGAATCATTCTAACTTTTATTCACTGTTAATCGGCTGGAATTTGTGTGATGTTCATGGATCATTGTTATATGTCATGATAACACGTTAGTACATTTACCAGTAGTTGTTCATAATCATTTCATCTTATTTTATTTTATTTAAGCACATAAATATCGGTACAAGAGGGCACCAGATATATATGCGTCGCACAAATCTCATTTAATTTGTGTGAGGACTGTGATACTACCCAGGTGCCCGAACTGAAGCAGGTGGTTTTCTTAGGGGACCACACCCGGAGCTTTTGACCTACAGGTCTGATCCACAAGACAGTGGAGCATCTTAAGGAGATGCAGTCTTATGGTAGCCGGTGATCAACGATTGATTCATACGCCATTTGTTCCATCGGGATGCTTGAGCCCATGTGCACCATTGGTTTGAAATCAGGGTTCCCCAGCTCCCCTAGGTGGACTTTCTGTGACCACCAACCCTGTTAAGGCCTTGGACATTCACTTTTCGTCCTCTCAATTTCGTAAACAACAGTAATGCCACGAGAATGCAGTGAGTAGGACTTCCCTGTAAGAGGCTATATACGCGTGGCCATGTGAGAGCATTTGGAGAGTGAGAGCGGACTCTCCCCACTCTAGGCCATACCAGGGCATTTTGGGGCTATTCAGAAAGAATTAGGTGCTTACTTCTTTTTCTCAAAAATATAAGTTAGACATATGATAGAGTAAGCACTTGGACAATATGAAAACGACAAAACATGGAACAAACAATGTGACGGCTGACGAAAATAACTCATTCCAAAAACTTACTATAATTTGTAATATTTTGGATAATCCCATTGTTGATATTTCGATTGAATCCTGTTAAGTTTCAGTACAACATGTGCGGATTACTTCGATATAGCTATTACAACACAATTTTATGTAGAAGAGTTGGGATGCGGTTAGCAGTGGAATCCAGGATAAGCGTTTCATTCTATTTGGGACTCGCCAATTGAATTTACCTGCATCCTAAAGTTGATGTTCATTCTGGAGTTACATATCAACTCTAAAGGGGGGGGGTTACTGGCAGGTACATATAACTAATAAGTCCCATATAGGAAGAAGCACGCGTCCTAAAATTAATTGCTAACAATATTCAAATATGCTTTAGACAACGGAAAGTGTGATATGAGTAATTATACTGCCATGAATAGGAGAATAGTTTAAAGGACATAATATATGGACATTCCTCAAATTTTGCTTTAAAAAAAATTGAATTTGCATAACTTTAGCTTGCTTGTTTGTTGGACAGACGACAGATGAAGACATTGCAAATAATGAAAGAGGAGGATAAAGAGAATCAACAGACTTACCCAACTACTAGTTAATTGTTGATGAAGTACAGAGCGCAGTTTATCCTTATCCCTTTCAAGCTCTTGTATTCGTTGATCTTTTGCATTGACAACAGCTTTTAAATGTGCAATCATTTCTTGTAATTGGACAATTGTTTCATTTGTTGTTGTAGGATTAGATGCATTATTTACAACTCCATCAATAACATTATTATTATTGCTAGGAGTAGTAGTAATAGTATGACTACTGTTAATTGATGGTGAATTAGTTTTACCAGAAGATGATATATGACCATCATGTGAAGATGATGTTGATAATGTCTGTTGATTAGTTGGATGACTATGTATGACTAACTGCTTATTATGTGATTTTGTATTGGTTGCATTTTTGGTTATCTTATTGGTGACATTGTCATCGGGAGAATGAAGAACACCACCGCCAACACCAGCCCCATAGCTTGGGTTACCCTAGAAATGTCAGCAAAATAAGTAGTTGTAAAAAATGGGAAAAAATATTTTAATAGATTAACAGTCTCAAGCGATTTCCAACTCACTAAGTACTTTTTGACGAGAGGTAACAGGCGTAGGTAAGTAAGTGCAACAGAACGCGCTCGTATTACATGAAACAATAGTTAAGTATTAAGTAGTCGATTGGAAGTTCTGAATGACCTTAATTCGATGCCATTCGATATCTACAATACTGGAACAACTGGTGCTGTCTCTGTAAGATCAGAATTTCGTGTCACATCTAGAGAGATGACTACCGAGCTACTCAAGTCACAAGTGACTCCCAGCAAGACTACAGTTTCATAGTGGTCGTTCACTGAGTAGTAACACCCTTCCCATGTTTGTTTAGTCTTTAGTCCTGATCGAGTTCTATCACACAAACTCCAATTTACTCCAAATCAATAATTAATTCTATATAGTATCCTATAAACGACAGTGTGGGAGATAATCATACAAAATGATTACAAAAACCGAAATAGATGGTGTCGTTTTGATCCTTTGAGGTGATAATTCCCCACCGCATATAGATGTAATCGATGAGTGGTACCTATTGTAAACGTAAAGCTGAGTTTTGGCTGAATAAAACCGAGATACTCTCACAGCACTGTTTCAAATCATGAAATAGTTGCTTCACCAATATCTCAACGTATGCAAAACTACTTCTGTGGAGCGACTGACATATCATAACCAATAATTGGAGAATACTGAATAACAAACGCAAAATGGTGCTCGGGGTCAAAAGAGAAAAATGGACAGTAGCACCTTATCCCTTAAAGAAAAGGTAGATACACTATACAGATGAAATGGAATGAGTAGATCTCAACTCCTTATGGATAAGTAGACGAGTTGATGAGATGACTGATTCTGAACCATACTACCTGAGAGTCGCTTGCCAAAAATTAGTCCCAAAAGATGTATACAGACGAGTCATCAGGAACAAACTGCCAACGTTTGCCAGGACAAAAAAGAACATGGAACTTCTAATGGAAATAGATGTTTACAAAACACCTTGATTTAAGCTAGATCTTTATTTTTGTACGTAGAACAATTAAACTGAACCGACACATTCACAGACACGACAAATGCAACCTAGGGATTCCGGCTAGCTTGTATGATATCACCTGTAGATCATCCTAGGCAAATGAACGGTTCTTACATATACGCTACGATAATAATAAAAGTTTATATTCTACATAAATATCAATGTGATCCAATAAACAATAAATACATGAAATTATAGTGCCCTATCATGTTGACTAAAGGAGTGAGTGTCAAGAAACCGTTGATTTCGAAATTCTATTCTCGCCTTTACATATAGCCCTAACTCAAAGGATCCTTCCAGTATAATACTGCACCAATTCAAATAAGTACAGCTGTATGTGAAGCAAATAACTCAAAACACACTAGATTGAATGATACAACCACTGATACGTTGGATTTCACTTAAGATGTTCAGAGGTAATCAGTAGAAGTTTGAGTTCAATTTCCGTGTTTATTCAAAAAAGCATTGAGTAACAATTCAAATCCAGCAAAAGAAAAGTACTTAAGTTCAAGGGGCTCCTTGTTGGTTCGCAACATGAGGGAACATAGAGATACTAAATGTAAACGAAGCTTCAAAATGTGAAGCACAGTTTTCTAGGACAAACCACCCCCAAGTTTATTTAGTGAAAAAAAAAATTCTGAAAATCGACTACACTTAGACATTAGTAGACTGGATATATATATGACTAGCGAACAAAAATTACTTACATGATGAACATTTCCCATAACTTTCTGTGAAGCGTCTATGGCCTGTTGCGGTCGACGATGAGACCGTAATTCCAAGATTTTCAATTTCTCTGGACTACTATTACTATTAGTACTATTGTTAGTATTATTTGAATGTGTTCGATTTAATAATTTTTTAATCAAACCATGTTTTTGTTGACTACTACCGATGGTTGACTTCGTATCTCCATTATTGTCCTCATTACTTTCAAGAAATATTGATTCTTTTAAACTAGACTGATTTGGTAAAGATGAGGGATATTGATGAAAATCAGTCGAGCAATGGTAGCTACTGTCGTATGATTGGTTTGACATATGAGCTTTTACAAGATTATTTCCAGAGGTTAGACATGTGGTCTGTGTACGATCGACAGCCAATGAGGGTAATAGTTGGCTTGTCACAGTTTCTGGCTTCTGATTGGCTGCTTTGTCCATTGGCTGACTTCAATGAACCAATCGGATGTAAACAATCTTTTTGACTCGTTAATGCACTCACTCTTGTCAGTGCTTTTCTTAATAAGTATAAATTTAGATAGAGGAGCCAAACACTATCGTCTTCAGTAAGTAGGTGAATGGCTGTGATTGATCATCTGAAAGAACATACAAGGTAAATTTATGGACTACATCACATTCTTACTCAAATGCATTTGCCATCGTTGATTTATTGAGAAATAGGCTTGGATTCTACAAGTTATTACATAACAAATATTTAACAGCCCAATCCGCGATAATTGTAACGCTAATTGAATAAGTGAGATCGAATTTTTGCACAGTTTTGCCTAATCAATCGGTATGAAAATGGTGAATTTTAGTCTAATGCGCGAAATTCAAAAAGGTAGTGACAGTTATCATCTAATTTTGTCGAAGCTATTTTTATTTAGTGATTAAAAACTGCTTACGATATATAACAGAGAGTTAATTCGGCTTTCAGACATCGAAAATGCCAATCCCTAATGCAATTCCTACCTGAAAAATTACTCAGTACGACTCTAACAAGGTAGTTTGCGCCTATCGAGATGGTTCGGTTCAACTGTTAACGACTTGATGGATTGATGACATATTTTGACTTAGCCGCCCCTAGCTTTTTTCCAACATGTCCCTACTCCAACCGACACTGTTCTTCAAGGTGGGCGGTTGTTGAACATAATAAGTAACTAACAAATGTCATAGCCATCTTAGCCGATGAAGATCCACTACTTCATTAATCAGTTTCCCATATCCACTTAGCACCCTGCATCCAACAGCACTACTCATTCGGCGGTCTAAGTGTACACACCAAATACATCTGTAATCAGACACCAGTAACCTATAGATGTCCTCCACGCTTAAAACCCACGTGCCACAGCCATAAAGTAGAACAAAAGGAAGTATCGCACAGTACACTCAGCAGAAGACGGACATTCAGCCTACATCACAAGTGAAACAAGTTGATGAAAACCAAGACAGCTATCCGAAGTGGTCCCGAGATTGAATTAGACGTCAACCCGTAAGGGTTGGCGAGTGTTCCAAGACAAGTGAAGTGGTCAATGCACTCAATCACTTTATTCCTTAAGGTTAATATAGGCGGTAAATCAAATCAATCGTGGAGCAACATATTTATAGGTAGAAAAACACCCTAAGCACGCTTGTATTGGTATTTATGGAGTTTAAAGAACTTTTCGTTTTGTCAGACATTTTATTAACCAGAACTGTCATCTCCATATCCCAAGTTTGTAAGCGAAACTCCTGGCAGATCATTTTCTGAAGGCGTTGTCTCTAAAAGAATATCTATGACAAAGTTAACAATGAGTATAGTAGATATCTCTGATAAACACCACTCAGTATTATTAATTTTGATGACAGTAAACCACAAGCTCTAAATCGACAAAATAATTTTCAAGTGAAGACCTTTCACGTGGTTTATGTACTGCTTTTAATGGCAAACATTTCCATTTCTGTCGTCGATCGGGTAACCACAACAAGAATGTCTAAATTTGGATTACAAAACAATTCACCACTTTATTCGAGAATATGAGCAATGATCGAAGAAATCTTTCGAAACACCAAGTTGTATTTCATTTCAACAATAAAGTAAACACTTTTTTAAGACAAACAAAATTAATGAGATAGGATACGTGTCCGTGGATTGTAGCGCATTTGTTTATCAATGTGTGTTACATCAAGCCTTTTCAGGTAATTTTCCGTTCATTTAGTGGGTGAATTTCTATTTATTTATTTATTTAAACATAGGTACAAGGAGGCACCAAATAGATATGCGACCCATAAATTATTCGATTTGTGTGAGAACTGGAATACTGCCCGGTGCCAAAACCGAATGCAGTATATAAAAGTAAAATATCAACTAGGGATTTCATTTCAAGCTCTTACTTTGACTTAATTTGTTTTTTACATACGGGAATTTGACATGAGCTACAATGGCTTGTTCACAGAAGATATGTAAATAGCTTTAGACGATTGAACTGTAATTCTGGGTAGTGTTCATGCTACTATATCATGTACTCATCCACTAGATGAACGGACAAATGCTAGATAATGCAATGTTATTGAACAAAGAAAAAAAGAATGGTTGATGTCACACCATTTAAGTTACTGTTTTTTTTATCCAAGTGCATCGTATACTGCATGCAAAAACATGAATATACTTTTAATGAGTAATAAACCTGTTTTTCTTTTCATTGAAAATCAACAAGACTATGGTGAAAGGATTAGGCATTTCAAGTGATTGTCAATGTGTAAATTTGGTACAAACAGGGCAACTACAATTCATATAAAGTATTAATGAATAAATATATTTTTGAAGCTTATAGTGATGAAGAACGGTATATATGTTAACACAATCAATAAATTGAAAGATGTGGCAACTCTAATAACTTCCTGAGAAATTGTGAGTTTAGTTAATGTGAGTTGTGTAAAAAGGTGTGTAGGCCGATAGCTACTAGTTTATTCAATTCATTCAGGGTAGGGAGGCTAGAATTTAGAAACTAGTGGAAAATAATTTTCAAGGTTGATAGCATGAACTAACTGACCATAGTCAAAACATCATTGAAAACAAGGAACCACTTGATTAGTGTTTCATCTCACGCTATGAGACTCCTAAATAAGGCCCATCTACTACTCCAACACAGAGAATCAAACGCAGCACTTTCAGTCTCGCGCGTGAATGTCTAATCTCTGGACCACTGAGCTGTATGAAATCTAACAGTGTTGACGTCCACCTTCAATAAATTCACGATATTGAGCAAACATCATCCAATCTATATTCAGCAAACTGATCTTTGATTTAAAAAAGTGATTACAATTTATTAGCTAGCTATCAATAAGCAAGTTACATACCATAGTTTGAAAAAATCAATTGCTAGTCAAGAGTAGCCGAAATGACTGATCCATTTAATTTGATGTTATTCATATTAATAGACCGAGGGTACTAAGATGCATTTATTATTGGCATAGCGTATGTACTATGTTCATATGTAACGTTACAGTTGGATAAAGTTGACAGACAACACTGGACCGCCGTTGAATAACTTAAAGTAGTGTTCATGTAACGATATGATCAGTCAAATTCGATCAACACTAAACGGAACTTGACATATATTACTTTGATCGGTGCTCACTAATCAATCGACTGTAATTTAATGTTTGTTTATCAACAAAAAGACAATGAAATATGTTTGCTAAGTACTATAACTGTGCTATTTTACGATATAACTAAGAATGTTGCTTTGAAGTTTTTGTTGAAGTTGGTCTACAGGAAAAACAAAAGCTGTGCTCCAGTGACAGCATTTACATCTAGTCGACAGTAACAACATTTGAGACTTTTGTCGATTTTAAATATCCTACTTACAAAGTTATCAGTAGCTTGCAACGCCGTGATGCAATAAAACAAGCACTAAGCAAACCTACAACAAAGATATTTCTGCGATCGAATATATTCATGTCATTGGTATACCAATAAGTTAAGGAAAATAAAGAGTTGAGTCCATGTCGAATTACTTCTCAAATATTTACAAACGCTCACTCCACCATTACTAAAGTTGAAAGGTCATATACAACAGAAGTGATGATGACTTTTAATAAGTCGAGTAAAATCATGTGAATAGAGCATATAAAATGAGAATTATTGTCTCACAATTATTGCGACAATATAATTGTAATAATAATGACATCATTTAGGTTAAGAAAGGCTCTTCGGATCATCATAGGGATCGTTGATACGGTGTGTGAATTGGAGGCATCGTCTACATATATACATATTCCATTTATCATTAAATTTTACATCAAAGTTTCAAGATAATGTTCAACGCTGAATAACTACATCAGTCAGAAAACGGTATGAGGGAATATTTCTGGTGTAAGTAATGACAAACTATGGATCAGTAATTAAAAATGATGAAACTTTTATATAAAACTAAGGTGAAAAATGATCCTCTAAGAGATAAGAATATTTTAAATCAACTGTACAACAAGAAATTGAGATACCTATACGTTACTGATTACTGATGATAATGTGATATTTGTAAACTGGGTCCACTTCTAACTGACTTAGGAAGTTCAATTCTAAACCATATTGCAAATATCGGCCTAGTCAACTGATATTGTACTCACTAACGGTTTCTTATTTCGAACCAGTTGTAACAACGGTTCTTATATTATCTTGCAGTACATATATAATAAAGTGATGCGTGCTACGTATACGGATAGATATAAGTAATATGTATCAGGAATCGGAAATAGAATAGAAAGGACAAAAGAAAGTGAAGAGAAAGAAAAACAGATATCAATAGAAAAAAAACAGAAACGGAAGAACAACGGAGTTTGTAACAAACAACTCAAGGTAGATGTGCAAATGGTGTATTTATTGCGTTATAAGCAAAGATGGATAGTGGCTAGCAGTGGAACCCAAGACGCGCGTTTCGTCCCATTTGGGACTCGTCAGCTGGATGTACCCGCATCTCAGTGTTGATGTTCACTCTTGGACTCGAACCCAGTACCTTTCGCCTCAAACTCCATCACGTTATCCACTCAGCTACTGAGTCCTGATAGCCACTTAATTGTGAAATGGGGTAAAGTTTAAATTCACTTAGTATTGCTTCTTTGAATCTTCCCATTGATGTTTTTAGGACTGCAACTGGTCATTAGGCTTTTTGTTCTTAGCAACCCAGTACCTTTCGCTTCAAACGCCATCGTGTTATCCACTCAGCCACTGAGTCCTGATGGTCACTTGCTTATGCAATGGAGTGAAGTTTGAATTCATTTGGTACTGTTCCTCTGAATCTTCCCAATAATTTTTGAAGCGGAAGGTACTGGGTTCGAGTCCCAGAGTGAATATCAACTCTGAGATACAGGTAGATCCAGCTGACGAGTCCCATATAGGACGAAACGCTCGTCCTGGATACCACTACTAGCCACTATCCATCTTTGCTTATAATGCTTGTGAATTAAGGCAATATCGAGGCAATACGCACGGTATGCACATATTCTAATAAGAGACCGATCAATTGCAGTCCTAATAATCAGTGGGAAAATTCAAACAAACAATACCAAGTGAATTATTTAATGCATTGTTTATAAATTTTACATATGCGGTTTG